AATTTTCTAAATAATTATATGATTTAAAGTTGGTAGATGAATCTTCTAATTGATTTTTTCTTTCATGTTATAGATTTATAAAATAGAATGGACATGAACTGGACATGAGGTATACAATTGACTTGCAGTTAAGAAGTAAGTTAGTTGGTAGTGGGACAGAAACAAGTACAAAGGCAGAAACTCCTATTGAGGATTACCCAACAGAGGTGGACTATGACGATTTAGGTTGTCACAATGAAATGGAGGATATTAATGATTTCGACAGTGATGGCAACAACAAGTTTGATGTATGCCAAGATACGGAGGATGCATATGAGATTAACATGGATGAGCCTCAAGGTTTTGAACTTAGTAATAATGTCCCTAAAGAGGGTATGCAATTTGAATCACATAAAGATACATTTGACTTTTATAACAAATATGCAAAAAAAAAAGGGTTTTAATGTTAGGTATTCTTCGACTCGTCGTTCAAGGAAAGATGTGTCAGTCATTGCTCGTGAGTATGTATGTTCAAAAGAAGGTTATCAACATAAGAAATACAAGGGGAATCACTCATGGCCCCAAACAAGGACAGGGTGCAAAGCCTTACTAAGAATAAAAAAAGAATGAAAATGGTTTTTGGATCATTGTGGCGCACAATAAAGAACATTTTCATGCCTTAACTTCACCATCCAAAGTTCATCTTCTTCGATCACATCGCGAAATTCCAAAGCACACAAGGTGAATGATCCATATGTATAACTCATGTGGATTAGCTGCATTGAAGATAACAAACGTGCTTAGTACTCAGACTGGTCGCCCAAGGACTCTCCCTTTTATTAAAATAGACTGCAAGAATGAAATCTACAAAAGTCAGAGAAAAAAATCAAAGTAGATAGGAGGGGATGCAGAGGGATTGATGGAGTTATTTGCATCTAAGATTGCTAAAAACCCGTTCTTTGCATATACAATGCAAGATTGTGGAGAAGGGCACTTAAGCAATATACTATGGATTGATGCGAAATCGAGAATTGCTTATGAGTTATTTGGGGATGTCATCATATTCGATACCACATACAAAACTAATGTCTATCAGATGCCATGTGCCCCAATTTTAGGAGTGAACCACCACACAAAGACAATATTCTTAGGTTGTGCGTTACTCCATAAAGAAGATGAGGAGTCTTTTACATGGCTATTTACAAAGTGGCTTGAGGTGATGAATGGATGTCAACCCAAGTCAATCATCACAGACCAAGACAAGGCAATGGCCCTCGCAATAAAAAAAGTGTTCCTAGAGTCCCGACATCGCTTGTGTAGATGGCATATTATACAAAAGTTTGAGAAAAAAATGGCACAAGTTGAGCGCAAACATCCATCCTTCCATGCAGAATTCTATAAATGTATTGACCAATGCATCTCCATAAATGAATTTGAAGCCACATGGCCAAAAATGATAGAAATATATGATTTAAAGAATAATGAATGGTTGCAGTATTTGTATGAAATTCGACATCAGTGGGTAGATGTATATTTACAAGACTGCTTCTTTGCTGGCAATAGAATAAGTGGAAGAAGTGAAGCTATGAACAAAGACATCAAGGCATATGTGAGTTCACATACCAACTTGACTACATTTGTGGGCAAACTACAAAAATTAATTGACAAAAAAATTTGATGATGAAAGCACTGCAAACTTTAAATCTCATAACGAGACACCAGTTATGAAGACTACTAGATGGCTGAAATTTATACCCCAACTATCTTTTCGAACTTCTTTCAGCCAAAGTTGATGGAAGCCATTAATCTTACTTGTGAAGTCCAAGAGGAAGAAGAGGTGGTATGCACATTTAGTTTGAAAGAATATGGGGTATGTCACAGAGCTCACATGGTCGCATTAAGAAACACCGAGGAGAAAGCAACATGCAGTTGTCATCTATATCCCTTGTAGTCATATGCTCAGGGTATTTTTTCTAAAAAATATTTTTGAATTACCCCAAAACTATATAATGAAAAGATAGACAAATTTTTTTACAAAGGGTATTGCTCGTAATGGTCATGGAGTTCAAGTATGACCTAACTGTGAGGATACCTATTCAACAGTTGCAATGATCTATTTCGAAATTGCAACATTCTATCAGTAAATGGTGCAATGAGTATAGGCTTGTATGAGTATGCAAAGATGGTTCTAGATGAGGTATGTGATAAGGTTGTTGCTAGAATTGACATGGAAAAGGTTATGTAATACAAGCATCTTCTACCCATAGCAGCCCTGCATACATAGGATCCCCTTGTGTGACACCGATCCTCTTTGTGGTTTCAAATCCACATGTGACCTAGACATTTAAGTTTGAAACATGGAGAGAACGAGTAAAAGAAAGGGGCGGCCTAGAAATTTTAGTTTGAAACATGGAGAGAACGAGTAAAATAAAGTGCAAGAAATTTGAGTTTACAAGTTATTGTAGATGTAAATGTCCCTCTTTGTGCAGGACACTGTATGATATGTTATTTTTTGTACTTCTGAGTTTAAGTTTTTAAAACTTGTTGTTTATAAGCTAATGCATTGTTTCTATTTTAAAACCTTGAGTTTAATTGTTGTGGATGTTTTCATGTCTATTTGCTACTTTTCAAACTCTAAAAATTGAATAACTAACTTGCTATTTAGCTTTGAGCAGACCTCCCTTTTCTTAATGCTTATGGTTAAATAATTTTATGGTGAGCAGATTGAAATTTTAATCATGAAATCTTTTCCATTGTAATCCACTATCATTGAGTTGTTCCTTGTTTTCTATTTTGGTATAGGGGCGCCACTATTGAAAGCACAATTAACCGCCAAGGATGGTTGAGTAACACCCAAGATGATGAGGCTAGGCAGCAGCAGTGATTAGCCTTTGAATTGACAATGATTTACATATGCTTTTGATAACTACAACCTGAAGTTTTTTGATGCCTAATTACACAATTTTTTGATATGCAATTGTATAATTTTTGATATCTAGTTGGATAGTTTTTTTTTATATATAATCATTGCAAAAATGTAAATATAATGCCCTTCAAATACATGGGTATTTTGTATAAACAAGTAGGAAACCTAACTTGAAACTATATGTTTTGTATGCTTAATGCCTTACGGACTCAAATGTTGATCTATCTAACTCTCTCTCTCTCTCTCTCACATACACACTTTTGGAGTATTCAATTTTGCTTGTTGTTTCAATATGTAAAGTCCTTCTCCCTCCTCTCATCACTTAACTTTTGATAATTCAATGCATTTGATGTGGAACTTGCCCTAGATTTGCATGTTTAACCAATGTTTGCAACATCATGTGTACAAGTGTGCTTATTTAAGGTCTTTCATAATGAAGCACATGAGATCCTCTCAGTTGCTGCCATTTACTATTCTGAAAGCCGTCTCTCTCTCTCTTGCTCTGTCTCTCTCTCTCTCTCGTACATGGATTATATATGATGTATTTGGTGTTGCTGTTGCAAAGATAAATGAATATGTATTTGGTGCGGTTATTGTGGAAAATCTTTGGAGAATGTAGTAGTGGTTGAGAATACTGCTTAAGAATATGTATTTGGTGCGGTAGTTGTGGTAAATGGATATTTTGAGATTGTAATAGATGTGGCAAGTGTGGCTTGATATTGTATTTGGTGTGGCAGGTGTGGTTAATTTATGAAGAGGTTGTATTTCTCTCGTATATTGTAAATGAAATTTTTGCTTGAGAATCTATACATCTATACTTCGTATGGATGGTGCTTGAGAACTATATTGCATAATACTATATACAAACTAGGATTTCATGATATATGCTTTATAGGATGGTATTGGATGGAGATGGCAAGACTAGGTTATGAGTCCAGGTTGTTTTCTGTGATTTTTTTTTTTTTCTTTCTAGGAAGCCTACAATGTCTAAGGGAGGGCTGTCCCCTGTTCCCATTTTTGTCATGAGTAAATTAGAGATCACTTCAAGTCCCTTTTTTACCAACCCAATTATATAATTTTACCCTTTTTTGGCCTTTATGTAACTCACTTGAATATTTCTCTTGTAGTGGATTTTTCTCCTTGTTTCTTTGTCCATACAAATGGCAATAAGAGAGACTTTTTTTCTGGTTTGGCTGCTAAAGTGCCACCATGTGCTGGTCATAGTTTGTAATATGAGGAAATACAGTTAGTAAGTTGCCTATTGTTACCTGCTGATTTTGTTGGTTCTCATTCAAACACTGAGAAAGAAATATTTCAGGGTGGATTTTGAGGCTTTTTTTATTGATTGAATTTGAGAATTTCTTTTAATGCTGCAACCAGGATGTTAAAGAGAACCTTTCAGCACTTGGTCTTTCCATTTTTTTTTTTTGCAAGAACAGTTACTTCATGAGAGAGGAGAGAGAGCTTTCTATAGGCCCATTGCACTCAAATATTATGATGTATAATAATGATATGGAGTTGAGAGGTTTCTTGAAAACATGCCAAGAAATTATACTCTTTGGCCCAACCGGGACTTAGGGCTGTAAATGGGTTGGATCTGGGTATAGGTCCTGGGACGGTTGCATCGAGATAGAGTTCAGCTCCTGGTGCAAAATATGCGGAAAAGAATATAGTAAGCCAGTCTACGGGTGGAACATTATCAGGCAAATGGGTCAAATTCTATCTTACAAACCTAGTTGTCTGATGTGCTCATGATTCTATTTTTAATTTCTTTTATCATTTTGATGGATATAAAACTTTACTTAAAGAACTTTATCAGAATACCTTTGCCAATCCTGACCATTGAATGGTTTAATTTATGTATACAAGTCAGACCAACTACAACTTCACCTGCCATGCCAACGGGCTAGGTCCAGACCGAGACCTAGGTCAGGTCAGTCGGTCAATCTGACTGATTCCCCCACCCAAACCCATATTTCTTACGACAATGGTTTGGAGCACAGGGTATCACCCAATTGCCTGAATCATTTTTCTTGCACACCAACATCAATGCAAAAATATTGACTGGGATGAAGAGCCAATATAACAATAAATCTACTAAAAGCATGGAAATAACATCACTTAAGATAAATATGCAAAAATACCAATTAAAGAAGTTATACAAATAACTATTACAGTTCCTTCTAGTCAAAATCTCTCTCTCTCTCTCTCTCGCCCACGCATGAACGGCAACAAAAGATCCCACATTTTTGTAGCTGGAGAGTCTTCATGGAGCTTCCAAAAACTTCTCTCGTGGATCAGTGCTCCAGATACAAAATTACAGATACAATTTTCTCACTAACATGTCAAAATGAGGGGGAACCTCACTCCTTAACAATGGCTCTCACGTTAAGTGAGAAATAGAACGAAGGCTTACCTAGCAATGAATGTAAAGAATTGGAGATTTGCGTTATAAGAACAAAGAATGACATGGCAAAAGAATCAGAGCTATGTCATGTTAAAATGGAGTCTAACCAATCCGATGTGTATTCATAAGCCACAAAAGTGACCGCCCCAGCTGGGGCTGCCTTGATAATAGAAGGGACAAGGCCTTTATAAAGACCGGCCCAACCCTCTGCTTGCACTATGCTGCGTAAAGCATCCCACATGTTCTTGTATGCATGACTCTCAACCCGAGCTCCATATTTTGGGTGTCTTTGCAGCCCTTCAACCAGCCCAACCCTCTGCTTGCACTATGCTACGTAAAGCATCCCACATGTTCTTGTATGCATGACTCTCAACCCGGGCTCCATATTTTGGGTGTCTTTGCAGCCCTTCAATCTGCAGTTGAAGGATGGACAAAATTTAATAATTCAAATCAACTTTGAAATCATTGTGCAATATGCAACATCAACCAAAAATGGCAATCAATTATTTTCAAAAAAGAAATAATAAGAAAAAATACTTATTACAAGACTGGCCATTAGAATCATGCCCGTCTAATTAAATAATGGAAGCCGATGGAGAGACAGACTTGTAAGAACAAGACATGAGCCCAAAGCTCCATCGTAATCTCTCTCCATCTCTCTGTCAACAGGCATCACTTTATCAGATGGTCATGACCCAAATGGACTGCGATACACAATATTTTTTAAGTTTATACTTTACTTTGCCGTATTGGATGAAATATTCGATTAATACATGAACTGTGTAAATTAATAATAATGAAGGATGTTGTATGAAGGATGTTGTATGAAGAATTCATGATCATAACAGATAGTGAATGAATTAAAACCATTATAAGAAAATTGAGAATGAAGTTATGCCCATGATTTTTTTCAATGGAATTAAGGCCACAATGTTTTTCAGCAGTTACATTGGCTTAGTTGACTAGTATCAAGGTTCTTATGTTAGGATATAACTAAAATTGAAGGCCATTTGAAACAATTTAATCATAGAATAAAAAAGAACATGACATTTTTTGAACAACAAATCAAGTTTTTAGTTTCTGGGAGTCATATTATAGAACTAATAGCCCTCAAAACATTCATAATCAAACTACTGAATCAAAGTTTAAATGCAAGCAAGTAGTTTTGTGGTTCCCAACCACCAATTTATACACAAACGAAAAAATCCAGATCATGAATAATAGTAAACATTTTGCTTACCTCAACTTATAGAACCAAAGTAAAAATCAATTTATCTGAGACCTAGGTGGAAGCTAAAAGTACCTCAAATTCGGTGCCTCAAATCCTCAAAAACAAGAAATCAAACAAGCAATGACAGTAAGCATAAATGAAAATGGGACTGAGAAAGAATCATGCAGTTAGCCAATTGAAAGTTACATAAACCATCCATCAATAAGAAAAGAATAGAATAAGTTATTTCGAAGTCAAACAAAGCCATATTGAGCAACATGGTACTGCATGAAATTGAGCCACATGGTACTGCATTCACATCAATACATGTCATACAACAAAAGCTATCTCCAAATTGAGCCATAATATTAAACAACATTCACATTTGTCTCATACAGCAAAAGCCATCCCCGAATTGTGCTAATTCAATGAGTAAGTCCCAAATTGTGTTGATTCAATGAGTAAGCAAAAGCTTCAATTTGTCTCATAAAACAAAAGCCTTCCCCAAATCATAACTACATTCACATCAATACAAAGTTGTCTCATACAGCAAAAGCCACACCCAAATTGAGCTGATTTACAAGTGTATACACTTCTCAAATACAGCAAAAACCATCCCCAAATTGAGCTGATTTAAGAGTGTATACACTTGTCAATCAATACAAAGTTGTCACATACTACAAAAGCCATCCCCAAATCGAGCAGATTTAAGAGTGTATACACTTATCAATCTATCAACAAGTTCAAGATAGTTCAACCGTTGGCTTTATCAATCTATCAACAACTTCAGGATAGTTCAAACATTGGCTTTTAGCCTCACCTTGGTTTTTAGCCTCACCAGTAATTAACACTTAAAAAAGCAAACTCAGCTTAAAAAAAAAATATTCACACCAAATATAATACTTCTTTAATTAAAAATAAATAAAATTGGATGACCATATTTTTTTTTTTTTTTTTGAGGGTTAACATTGTATTAAATTTGTGAAAATTATTACAAATGGGTGAAATTTAAAGAGAAAGCCCACATACGGGTGCCCTATAGAATGCCCAAAATATGCTTGCTATACTAGGACGAAAGTAGGGTGAAGGTTTTTGGATATATAACATGAGTATATATGGAAAAATTTGTGCATCAATTTCTACAAATTTTTCAATTGATCCGAAAAATCACCTAAGGGTTTTTCTAAATGGATGAAATATGAACGAATTGAATCAGTTATTAGATCGTTTGGTACTGATTTGACAGAGAAAATTAAAGAAGGGCGGATGGGTGATTTAGGGTTCAATAACATGAGGTCTCGATGCAAAAACCTCAGTGAAATCGTTATCTTTTTGTTTGAAATGGGCATCGGGGTGGATCTACAAACGTTTGTCATGCTAAAATCAATTGGATGCATCCTTATTGGAGATGATGCCTAGAAAACTTTGATGAAGATTTTGAGCTTCAATAACTTGCAGGTCAAGCACGTCCTATAACTCCGAAGCTCCAATCTTCCTCTTCTTTCTCTACTCACCCCAACTCTCCCCTATTTTTCTCTCTAAATTCCTCTTCCTCCTGTGGCTCCAAAGCCTCCCGTCTAAACTTTTCTTCCTCTTCTCTCTCTACTCACCCCAACTCTCCCCTTTTTCTCTCTCTATATTCCTGAACATCTCTTTCAATCCAACGATCCCCTCTTTCTCTCTCTAAATTCCTCTTTCCTCCCGTCTAGTCTCAAGCCTGGTGTGGCAGAGGGACATGTCGAGGGAAGCAAAACTGGCTACCGACGATCACCCGTTTTGCCCTTTTATTTACTATGTGATCGTGGCCGTCAAAATGTATAGACGGTGTGTATCAGTTAAACCGTGTCTCTACACCTACGGATACATCCGTATGCAAACTGCACCCGTTTTTTTACTAGTTTTTAATCTAATTTGGATATATTTTGTTTAATTACACTTTCAACAATTTTTTGAGCTTTATTTAGATTTCTTTTAGCCTTTTTTAGTCCAGCTAGGACCTGCCCGATTGGGGCTGGTTAGTGGGACTGGCTCCGGGTTACTCAGACCCAGCCCATTGCCGGGTTCCATCCCCTGGTCATGTTTTTTAACGCAAATAACCTTGGAGGATCGATACTGTCTTTGGAGAAAGGTGTTGGCTATGACTCTTGAAAAAGTAGTAGGAAGACTCTCAGTGATTTAATCTAAAGTTGGATGCACCGTGACACTTCATAAAGTAAAGGGGTGCGATTTGTATAGAGCCTAGGCTCTAAACAATCAAATCAGAGCTTACCTTCAAGTAGTATCGAGAAATATGGTTTTAATATTAAAAATTTTTGTGATAACTTTAGAATATCTTTTTATTTTTATATATAAATTTTAAAGCTTAAATAATAGTGTAGATTGACGGATCTATGAAAACTTGAAAATCTTTATGAAAACTTGAAAATCTTGAAAATTGACACTCCAAAAATGTGTTACAAAATACACTGTCTAAAATTTGAAATCCATTTTTTTCTCATATCCATGCATCTTGATATCGAGATGATCAACTTGAAGATATTTAAACGAAAACAACCTCTTCTAATGAAATTTTTGAAGTAGGTTCAAATTTGATTGTTTAGACCCACGGCTCCAAATAAACTTTTCCAAAAAGTAAAAGGTTGCTCCTTTTTTAACATTGAGATAAAAAGTTTGCTCTTTAATCTTTTTGCAGTTCTTTTGAAATGAGAGCGGGTTGAAGTTTTCACATGTACGCTTCGAAGACCTGTTGAAAGTGCCCATATGATGCTACTAAATTTCAAGAGGAGCTTTTAGACTTTCACTGTTGAGTCTAGGACCTTTAGGTTTGTCCTTGCAAATCAAGAAAGGAGGGGTTCTTTGACATCATGAAGATGGAAAATTGGGAACCTATGCAGTCTTGATTTGATTTCGATCTGTAAAATATGTTTGATAACTTGGCTAGAATTCTAAGGCATTATGGAAACCTGTGTTTGATAAATAGAAATTTTTGAACTTGGGGTATTTGAATTTTGAGAGCATGCGCCTAAGTATTTTAAGTTTATTATTCGAAACGTCTCATGATCTTTAACCAAGTATGTACATCAATATTACTAGGAGTAATCACTATAGCTTGCTTCTAACACTTAGGAGCTTTATCGGACCAAGTCTTTGTGATTTCAAAATCTCCTAGTATGACATTTTCTCTCCAAGCAGGATAGGTGGATCAGCTCCTTCCCTTAAAACGATCTTTGAGAGTTTCTTACCACATATGGCTCAACAGTAACGCGTTCCGTCTTAATCTACTATATCTATCTAAAAAATCTTGTAAACTCATCCCATTTTTTGGAATTAGCCTAATAACAATAAGAGGTTAATTACATGATTCTCAAACTCAAAATTTTCATTAATCAAATAATAAATTTTATCTCTTCTCCATTTTTTATAAATCAAATTGAGCTAAGATTTTGGTCATCAAAACTTTACAACCACACGTACCAATACAAATATATGAAAAATAAATAACAAATAAAATGATTAAAATAGGCCTAAAAGTTTTGGAGATATAGGTCATTTTATTATTTTGTAATTTTTTTTATATTTTATAGATGTGCCCTGATGCGATGAATTCACCTTGACTTGCTTTTTAGGAAGGAAAAATAAAAAATGAACATAGGTGAGCTTTCCATGAGAAATGCTCCATTTTCATTCAATGAGAAGCTCACTCTTCGATGGGTTACTTCTCATTTCCGAGGAGTGCGTCGTTCCAATTGTTATACAATTCCTAATTTTTGAACTACAAACTTCTATATTACTTATGGAAATTTTGGCTTTATGTGTTGGAACTTCTAGTTACGAAACACACCCTAAGGGCGTGTTTGTTTGCTGGAACATAAACATTACCTGGAAGAAAGAAGCTTTGTCTTTCCTAGGAGTGGAATATTATCTTCTAGAAAGTTTAAATAAGTTATGGGGATAATTTATTTGTCTTTCCTAGGACTGGAATATTATCTTCTAGAAGATTTAAATAAGTTATGAGGATAATTTATTGGAATGTTAAGGAAGTTCTTGATACCTGTGTCTGATTACCTTGTTGAAATATTGAAAAAGTTTTAGGTACCTGTGTTTGATTCACCCTAGAATTTTTGAACTTGAGACCTATCAACTCAGTTTGAACTGTTTATTAATTTTTTAGTGATATGGGGTAGATATGTCATGTATGAAGGAAAAAATTATGACATTCCTAATCTCTAATTGCATCCCAAAATTAATATTATTAATATTATCAATTTTGTTCTGTACTTTGATATATAACCATAATAAAATAGTCAATATTATTTCTTAATAATATGATGTAATATTTTATCTTCATTATCTCTTGTTGGGAATGTCTCAAGTTATTATTATTATTATAATTTTAACTCAAATTGATAATTTCTCAAAACTAGTATTGGCAAACCAAGTCACTATTTTTCTAATCCACAGACTTAACATGGAAAACAGTATGTTTTCCTTACTCTTGTGTGGGTACAATTTATTGAGCCTTTTAACAATTATGATGTAGAATAGGTGTTTAGATCTTATAAGTGGGCAGTCAATCCTCTCCCTAATATGTACATCGCAATTAGCCAAAGAAGTTAAACACCATTAAAAACTAGATCAAATATTATTGTAAAGCAAAAATAGGTTACAAGGAGTTTGTCCTAAGCAAGGAGGTCAAGGTGGCAGAGCCATGACCTAATGTTTAACTATTCCTACCTGTGGAGATGTCAGGTAAAGAAAAACAAAAACAAAGATAATAAAGGGAAAAGAGTTATGACGAAATGAAGCAAAAATAAATTCCAACCCATCAGTAAGACACCAAAAGGTGTCACGAACGCAGTTCACGCCAAGATGTTGAAATTATTGTAAAACTGCACTTCAACGAGTACAAAATGTTGGGTTTATGTAGCCTGTAAAGGCCTTACGAGTGTTAGTAAATTGAAATGATGCAGTGGAACATGAATTTAGAGGGAGTGTGGTCCTACGTGGACTATACTAAGCAAACGATGGGTTGCTGATACCGATCTGTGCTTAACGATATAGGCCAGTCGATTGAGAGAAACTCATATTAACTGGGCATAAAGAACAACCGATGAGAGTTTATGGGTTAGCCCTTGATGAGGTTGGAGAACATACCTGGATGAGTGAGCCGAGGGATTGTGTGACCCTTGTGTGTGATGGTGGCCTACAGAGACAGGGGCCAAAACCTCATCCATATATCATCACACGGTATGCATATCGATAGATCGTTCGAGAAAGCTATAAATCTACCTTTTAGGGTGAGCATGTGCGAGAGATGCCTCTATGCGCCATAGAGCTGTAGTCGCATAAGGTCTTGGTAACCTTGACTCGTCTCTAGGGGGGGACCTGAAATCCACATAATAGGATTGTCATCCCTTGGCTCATCGGTCGGACTTTGATGACCCGCTAATGAACCCCTGCTTGGACTGTGGGTTATGGGAAACATTGGATTGGTCTGATAAAGCAAGTGTGGTCTGTAATCTACAGTTGAAAGTGGAGTGTCCCATGATTGTTGATTTCTAAACCATATGGTTCATTTTCCCATTAAATTAATTTAATTGTATTTATTTTAAGATTATTATTTGAATTTTTATGAACCTCTGGATATTTTATTTATAATTTTTGGATTTATAAAATTAACGATATTGATTTTACAATTGTTTAAATATTCAAATAATATTTTAAAATCCTTTTATTAATTTTAAATATATATAAAAATATCATGGAGGCCTATTATGTACATGGGCCCGCCATATATTAAGAAGGTGGGGCCCATGAGTGCCTCCCTTGGGTGGCACACCCCACCCTTATTCACTTTCCTACTTTTTGGAGATATGTTTGGAAGATATTGACTAAATATTGACTTGATATATCTTTGAAAGATTTTGTGGAAAGATTGAGTAGACTTGTGCTATTTTATGGCATGCATAATATTTTGATTAGATTTAATTTATTTAATTTCTATTGATAGGAAAATGGTTTAGGAAAGGGGGATAATGGTTCATGCACCTTTCATAATGTTGATGGCTCATCTATGGAATGGATGGTTCAGATCTCTTACCCCACAAGTCACCCGTGATTGACGGTCTATGTTCAATCTCACAAGAAGAGGCAAGCCAAAGAAAACCCTAAAAAACCCTAATCTTATTCAAAGCCTATAAAAAGGGATTGTCTCTACCAAAAAATCTCTATACTTATCTTTTTATCTCTCTATTAAGAAAGTTTATCTCTATCATGTTTGATCTCTCTCTCCCACATTGTGAAAGAACCTAAGGGTTTAGGTTATGGAGTTCTTCTCTCATATCTCTCAAATGTAGATTTATGGCTAAGGGTTTTAAGGTTGAACAAAACGAGAATCCATCTTTCTCAAACTAGGTTGCTAAGAGAATTTACCTAAGGTTTGAGTTTGTGATCAAAGGGGTTCATGTTTCATTGGTGTGGCTTGACCGAAATTTGCTTTCCCGGTTCGAGATTGAAGCGAGACCATTGATCCCGCGCCATCGGATGGTGGTGACTCGGTGTGGGGTGTAATAAGCCCGGTTGAGGTAATCTCCGACACTCTTCCTTTTGTTTCTTGCAATCTTATCGTTTATTTTCAAGCATAATGCATAGTTGTTTCAATGGCATCAAGTTGTTAAGACCTTGGTTTTATTGTTATATTGATTTTATTTTGAAATTTATCTTATCATAATAAAGACCACATGTAAGTAATCTTTTGCCAAAAGA